AAGTCTTGAAACCACCAAGAGGCCACATTCTTGTTTTCTACACAGATGGCCTAAATGCACCTCATGTGAAGTTCCTCCTAGGAAGGACCTAAGACTGCTCATCTGCCTACTGTCACTCACAAAGTGCTGCCAAAAGCGGAGGGGGGAAAAGGGATACAAGAGGCTTGATGGAGTGCCATGGCCATCAAAACTTGGCAAGTTACTTTAGTCTGTAGGGCTATGAAATACTGATGAGATTTTCCTCATTCAAAGCAGTCGCAGCTGAACCACTGGAGGATCAGCGAGTGGAAAACCAAGCAGCACATATCTCAGCAAACAGTGAACCTCGGTCTGAGTCCGTGCCTAAAATAACTTCTGCATCTATCCATTGTGCAAGCTTGAATCTTGTGCAGGACCTATTAGTATTTTTAACAGTGCCAACCATAAAGCAGAGAGCTGTAAGCAGCAGCACTGCAGAGCAGGGGTTATTTGGGTTATAAAAACACTGCAGGTGGCCCATTCCAGATAAACCAGCGACTCCTTGCAAAATGCAAAGCCAACTGGTTTTATACAAGTCAGTTCCAAGAAAGCCACCTTCTTAGAAGTAAACTCTCCCAGCACAGACAAGCTCTCAGCTAAGAAATGGCACTGGCTAGAAGTTGGCAGAGTATGTTATTTGACTTCTGGCAGAACCTCAAAGTCTTTTCCCTCTCCTGTGGTCTCCAGTAAGTAGGAAGGCGGAAAAAGAAAATCCAACTCAAAAGTGCTGAAAAGCAGCATCCTACAGCAGAGCATGCAATGACATGATTTCTCAAATTTTCCAATACCAATACTTTGTCACGCCAAAGGCTACAAATTAAACAAGAGAGATATTTCTGGGGCTTCTGTACAACACATTACCAAATCCAAAGGCTGCTCTTCTAGTGTTCTGTATTTATGAAGCAGAAGGCATCTTGAGTTAGTCTTGTAACTCCCTAGTAAGAAGTTGAGCTATAAACCACTTTAAAAAAATAAATTATTCAAATGACAGAGCTTTGAATGCTTTCAAAGACTTAGCTTGATAAACTGATCATATTTTAAAGCTTTCATCAGACTAATTTTTATCACTTAGTCCCATCACCTAAGTTCTCCAACAAAACAGATTTTATGTATTTTTTTTTATTTCTGTTCTCAAACACCCTGCATCTCCTACATTTGCAAAAACTGCAGTTAACTTACACTGGTATGAAGGTGAAGGAAAGCAGTAACATTACTAAACCACTTTAGACTAACAAACAGGTATATTCAAAACAAAATAAAAAACATCACATGAAGTATAAACATACAGTTAAAGCTAAAAGATTCAATCATCACCTTGAGAAGTGGATAAAAGGCAGGTCTCATTCAATACATCAAAAATTAAAATACTAGTTTTGAATAAACAGAAGATACAAAATGTGCCAAGAAGAAAAAGCAACCATGCCCCAGCAGTATGAGAAGTCTGCCTTCATAACAGACAGAAAATACCAGCTGAAAAAGTGAATGCTTTATGAAATTTGACTTGGGGAATGTGACCCGTTGTTTTATTCTCTAAAGGAAAATCAGGGCGTAGCATGGAGGAGAAAAAAGAGATTAGTATATTACATGGAATGTGCAATAGAATCTTGAGCTATTCTACACCAATAAATTCTGATTAAAGGAAATTCCATTCTGGCCCTGAAAAGGCAAAGAAAGCCCTAAAACCAAAACCCAAACAAAAAAACCCCACTCTGTTCAGGAAACCACTGAAAATGATAATCTTTCCTCCGAATACACACACATGACAACTGAGCCTCATTTTTAAGAACAACATATGCAATCCAAAGTTCTGTAATTCAAGAATTCTCAGAGAAGTCTGCTCCATAGTATAAAGGAAGCACATAGTTGAAAGTACACCAACAAGAATTTAACAGAACTAGCACAGAAATGTAATTGAAAATTGATGTTTGGAAATAATTCCCCAGATTCACAAACCACTTTCCTGTTATTTAAACTTTTTTTTTTAACCATTTAAGATTAACATTGAGTGCCTCTTATAACCTCTTTTCAAATAGTCTCTTGCCCTGCAATATCAGTGACATGGAAAACTATCTCCTTATGGAAAAGGCAGAAAAACCAGATGGAGATCCATTAACTTCTCTCTGTGGTGCACACTCTCTTTGCTTGAATAGAAATAAGGCAAGAATGTCTGTACATGACTGAGGATGACTCCAACCAGCCATCATCACCCTCTCTTGACAGCAATAGATGCATACCAAGAAGTCTAACAACTTCTTGGCAAGAATAAAGGGCTGGATTCTTAATAGGCGCTCCCAGCACCCAGAAACCCACACACACACTAAATTTCACAACCCAGTTGCCAAGCAATCTTCTAAAAGTCCTTTAAAACAAGAAAAAGAAAGGCAAGAACAAGACCTTCACACTCCACTGTTGATCATAGTGCAGTTGTTCATCTTCACTCAGTCAATTAACAACAGTAAAGCTGCACACTGAATGTGGGACACTAAAACCACCAGAAAACACCACTTCAATATCCTTGTTTGTTTGGGTTGCTTCCTGGAGGTTTTTCCCTTTGCTTTTTTTTTTAATGACACCACACTGAAAACATTAAACTAAAGCAAAAGTTAAGGGAATTGCAGAGGGAGGGAGGGAGGGAGACCTTAGCTAAAAGTGTGCAAGAATTATAAAGTACATTAGAAAACTGCAAAAATAGTTTCCATTAGTTAAAATCCCCATGCTTTAAGTTAGTGTTGGAAGGCTGCATGCTCGTAATACAAAATTTTACTATCCGGGGAGAAAGACATTCTAAAATCCTTTATATATTGCATTAACTGCATTGTTGAGAACTATGACAAGGCTACAACAAACTGACAAAATTAAAATGTGCTGCTGACATCAGCACATACAGCTGTGACTTTTTACAGGCAAGTGAAAGAGAGAAAACACCTTTACTGTACACAAGAATTTCTTAGAGGCGGCCTGAAAAGCTTCCATTTCCAGAGATGATAATAAAATAATTTTAAAAACGTCACTAAAAACTCAACCAGACATCAATCAGTGAGTGATGTATTAAAAAGGATGGCTCTGAGAAAATACTTTGGAAATAGAATTTATTTAAAATCTGCAATGAACAGAGCCTGACCTTTATGTATTTGCTGCAAGAGAAAGGTTTGAATTACTTAGAATGAGTGTCTTTCTACTGAATTCAGTCTCTAGTATTTGGGTTTTTACTCTTTATAACAGCATCAGTGAATTTAAATTAGTTATGCCAATTAATAGTCTCATTTAAAAATTTGAAAATGCTTACTCTAATTCAAGTGAAAATGTCCACCAAATCCACCATGATGTCTCCAGTTAGGGCAGAAAGCAGATGCACAGGAAATGGAAGCATAAGAGTGACATTTGCCAAAACCTCAAGGTTGCTGAAGAATTTCTTGAGCCAATTGTGAAGTCTACATACTCAGTAACCTCCCTGGACTTTCCTTCCATGACTCGTTAAATCGTTGTTTAAAAATTCAGACAGGTTTAAAATCAAGACTATCTTAAATCACAGAGTTCCATAGCCAAATTAAAATTACATTAAAAACTTCATTAGTTGGTTTCTCTTACATCTGCCACCTTGGACAGAATGCTAATTTCCTGTCCCTTTCTATGTGACTCATATTTCACATCCCTCAGTTGTCCTTTTCCCATTATTAAAAAAAATAATCTCAGCCTATTTAATCAGTCTCCAAGTAGAAAGTGTTCCATACTTGTCAATCTTTATACTGCTTCTGATTCCTACTGTACCTTCTTTGGGATTTACACAATATTTAAATATACAACACAGATTAATACACAAACACAGATGGGGGGGGGGGGGTTTCTGTGTTTTTTCTTCATTCTTTTTATGGTATTTGCCCCCTCCCCTATTAGGCACTACCAAGAAAAAGAGTAACTTTTTTCAAACAAAAAATCTGCTCAGTCAACCACTCTTTCCCCAGGTAAAGTGCAGACTTTGTTCATGAGCATCATTTTCCAATTATTTGCACCAAGTTTTATCTGCCATATCATCACTATCACTCTGTGATGCTCTCTGAGGAAACACTTCTGTAATTCCCAAAGATCAACTCTATCTTCATTACCCCAACTCAGTTAACACTGATAGATTTCCCCCACCCACTAGACACCCCTCTTCTCCAAACCTCTAAGGATTTTGGTTTTGATGATCAGAAAATGACTCAGGTTTTATCAGAATTCCAAAGTAGCTGCACTGGTGGCCTCATGCCACAGTGCAAAATGTGGGATATTTATTCCTAGTTATCTCTCTATGCAAGGACCTGTGCTCTTGTTCACAACTGATTCCTTCAGAGTTTTAGGCTGGAATTCTCATGGGTGGAAATTCTCAAAAGCAATTGCTGAGATAAAGTAGAGAAGGAAAGAGGGAAAGAAAGACAGAATGAGGAAGAGAGAGGAAAAAAGAGGAAGAGACGAGAAAACGTGAAAGAGAGAGAGAGCAAGAGAGAGAGCAAAAGAGAGCAAGAGAGCTCGTTACTTAGTTATATGTAGGTCACCTGAAGATGACCTTATGAAAAATGTTTCCCAATCTATCTTGGGATTGTTTGTGGGCAGCTAAACACTTTTAGTTTAAACAACCACTGTGACATTTCCCCACTAATTTTTTGTAAAGGTCAAAGTCAGAAAAGCAGTCATATAAAAATCTCATATATGTGGCATATTCTTTTTAGCCAAGAAGCACAAGTTATCCTCAAAATGTCTATTTCTGTAGGAATGTTCATTCACAGTTATTTTTTAATTTAATGACTAGACTACAATCCTTGCTTTTGAAAAAAAACAAACACCTCAATCAAAAATCAGCAATCTAATAAAGCATCTAAATTTTGCATATTTCAACACAAATAAATCTGTCCACCATGCTAAAATAATAACTTAAAAAATCAACCAAGTCTTCCATACATTAGTAAACTGTGTATATAAATAAGGTATTTTGTGGTTTATCTTACCTTTTAGCCAGCCACAGCTTGGTTCCCATACAGGTAATGATGTCACTCAGTCCCTGCTGGAAGTCCAAACTAACAAACTGGTTTGATTCTAGGTATGATTGCAGCAAGTGTAAAACCTAAATAAATTAAAAAAAAAAAAAAAATCAAATGAAGAGTTTCTAGCCACTGCTTTTCCTCCAAATAACTGAAAGATGAAACATTGTCTGCAAAATGAACATCCAATTACTCAAGGAAAAATATGTAGTCACTTGGCCTCACAGCAGACAGAATCCTTAAATCCTTAAGTTGCCCCATCTTTAAAGCTCATTTTTCACACAAAACAACAGAAAGTGCTGGAAGACGTTTACCTCCATGAAGTCAACCGAATGCAACTGGATGAACCCTGCTCCTCTGGCCTTTTTCAACTTAAGTATCCCTCAACTTTCAACTTCCTTGCTGTGCCATTTGCTCCCCAGTGCCAGCACAGCTGCCTGGAGAACAGACTGGCACCCTGGCACACTGGATGGAGCAGGGTTCTTTGCACTGTACAAGTACAACCGAGGAGACAGGGAAGGGAAGGGAATTACCATCCATAACCACTCTGAAGTGCTGCCAGAAAAGTATCCTTATTCCTGCTCCTGAAAACTTAATTCCAGCACCCAGTCAAACACTGTGACCAGCTAGGTTTCACAGAGCAGGGAGATGCTCACACTTCCCTTTTCTGAGGACTGAGCTCCTGCACTGGGGTTCTGCGTTCTCTCCAGAGTTTCATGTAAAAGCCTAATAGACATGTCCAAGCTTTGATGAAAGGAAGAATTCAAGGAAGAATTCAAGAATTCAATTACCAAAATAGAAAGCAAGACCACAGTTTTCTGGTCAGACAGTTAAAAAAAAAAATGTATGTTCTCAAAGACCCTCCTTGCTCTTTAAAAACAAGTTTTTCCAAGTAGCATTGAATATATAGAAAAGTGTTAAGAAAAATTTTGCTTACAAAAAAAGTACAGTCATCTAAGCATGAGATGAAAATCTTGGGTAGAATAAGAAAGCTGATGCCAACAGCACAGTGGAGAGGGGCCTCCAAGCACCCCCCCCCCTCATTATTTTGTAGTGCCCATCCTGCATGTGGCAGAGGCTGCATGACACACACTTGACACAAGTGATACCACCTGTATCATCCCACTTGGTTTTAACTTTTCCCATTCACACACAAGTGCACAGGAGACACCTGGGTGAGGCAATTTCTAAAGGGGAACACATGGAAATGTGTGTTCCACTACTGAAGCCTAATGGAAAACATCTTACTCAGACTAAGGAATTTTGCCTTGCAGCCTCAAAATTGGAAATTCTGTTCACTTACACAGCTAAGTTACATTTACAGAAAAGGCTTCTATGCAAATTGAAAAAGTACATCCCCCATTATATAGGGAAACTGACCATGTGCAGAATTTAGGAAGCTCAAGAGATATAATCGACCATTTCTGAAAATACATATTGTGAGCATTTCATATGGAAACACTCTTGATATGTGAGAGTATTAGCACTTCATACTTGAGAAGTGACAATTGAATGACTAAGTTGAGGCCTTCACTCTGGGAAAAGAAAAACCTTTGTGTGCAGACTTTTAGATCTCAGATCTTGATTTCCCACATTCCAGCTGTCACTTGCTCTGGGGGTTATATTTTTTTTTGTTTGTTTGCTTGTTTTGGAAACACAAGCACTGCCACATAGCATTAACTTGACACAATTTCATCTGGGTTATTTTTTGTGAAATCATTCAAGTGGAAAAACAGCTGCAGTCATTTCAAATAAGCACAAAAACAGAAGAGATGTCAAGAGACTATCTAATCCATAGAAACACTGAGACAGGATCTAAACATTCTTCAATGAAACAAATGCCTGACCATCCTAATCCTGAAAACAACCAAGAAAGCAGATTCCAGACGATGTGTATGCAACTCCTGTAGTCTTTCACCCTCAAAATCCAAGCTCTTGAGGTAAGGTGTTCCTGTCCACTCCCACTCCTGCCCTCATGACAAACAACTGTTCTCTGGACACTATTCAGTCAGTCCAGATTTTTTCCTAGTGAGGCACTTATTAAACACAGAGATCCCACTGGGGCCCTTTGACAGGAACAATGAAATCAATTCCTGTCTCCTTTTGTCAGCAGGTGCTCTATAGGCAAGACATATCCTGGAGAACTAGCTTGTCTTTTGATTTTTTTTTTTAAATCTTCTGAAGTCCTCCAAATTGAACATCATTCTGTTGATAGCATCTTTCTATGACAGCCTTTCTAGGATATTTTTGAACCTTTATCTTCCAATTCCAAGATCTTTTGAGTCTTTATAATTTTCTACAAAACACTTTGCAAAAGTGCAAGCTTGCAAACATTTTAAAATGTCACCAGAGATGCCTACCTTGTCATCTCCTTTAGTCTGCTCTTTCCTGTGCAGGTGTTTGCTTATTAAAATGGTTTACATAAGTACTTACTCAAATTAACCTTCATCAAAACAAATGCACTAAGCTGCCACTACTAATAGTTTCTCTGTATTTTTTGTGGCTTGCCCTTAATGCCTGTTAAGTCATAGACACAATAGAAGAAGAATGAAAATAGAAAATAATATTTATGCAGAAGCTCTTATTGCTTTTTATAGCCTCTGCTAATTGAAAACCATTGGTGCTTTAACCTTTCCAATCTTATTCTTCTGTGCTTGTATTAATTTCCAGGAATGACAATGGATTTACCTCTAAGGAATAATATAAAATCTGTTACACAATTATGAAGGGGCTATCATATTTTTTCCTAGCAGCCTAAATTAATTTAATCTCTTCAGCTCTGAAAACAACTCTTAAAGTGCCTTCCATGTAGATTTAGAAGTAGTTTGATAGATCAAGCTAAAGGTCTTGAAAGAGAAAGAACTGTGTATACTAAGGAAGTAAAATCGGTGGATTTAAATTTGTCCAGGTAGGAAATCCAATACTGAAAACGCAACCAAAACTCCTCTGGAGTTAATTCTTTGTATGAACCAATCCTTTCAATACTATTCAGATGGTAAAAATCATGGGACATGAGCCCTCTTTAAACAGTAGAATTAGAAGGTGCACCTCGTGAGAGTTTGATGCACTCTTGAAAAGTGCTTGCATCCATGAAAGAAAATGTTCAACTACAACTTAGCCTGTTCTGACTTTTTCTGACATACACAAAATCCTAATTTTCTTGTTATTTCACTGCAAGCCCTCTATCTTTTATTCAGGCACCTTCATCATATTTTAGACACCTAGAAAGCTTTCCCCACAAAGAAATTATTTTCTCAGCCTGAGATTTTAGAATGCCTAAGCTAAAGTGGAAGTTGTAATTAACATCAGTATGTTTTATACAAAGCCTTACTTTATGTAAGCTAAAACCAGAGGCAAGCAAACAAGCAACGTGTAAAAGTAAACCTCAGTAGTTCTTCACTTCCATCACATGTAATATGTCGTTCTTTGGCTTCCACGATCTAAGACTACAAGCCAGAAAATGAGGAGTTTGCCAGTCTGCACTAGGAGGTAGCAAGTTTTATGAGACTGTTTTGATATAATGAAATAGACAGGCTTTCCTGTGCATGGCTCTCCTCAAGTCCAAAATACTACATGATTTAAAATCCTCTGCTGAATTCCTCACATATAAATGCAGTGAGGTCATGGTGTTCCTTCTGTATGTGGCATTGTTTTTTTATTACACAAAGGCAATATATTAAGGATTTTTTTTCTTTTTTAAAGGTAGTTTTACCAAAGATTTACACTATCTGTGGAGGAAGGTTTATGCTGGCTGACAGTGGTTCTCTTTAATAGATACAACACTTCACTGAGACAAAGCATTGTTTGTAGTTCTGTGGAATTGTGCATTAAAGATGGCAAGTTCATGGATGACCAGAAACCTTTTCCTCCCCTATGCAGGAGCCAGGTTAATACACTATCAGCACAGCAGAGACTGTCCATCAACATGGACAAGAGTTCTTAAAAAAGTGCAAGCCATGGGAAGTCCAGATACTTGGATACATGATAGGATATCTGAGACCACTCAGTTGACAAGGTGCTAACTCTGAGTCACCATGTCCTAAGCTGCTGCAGGTAAAACCTCCTGCATGGGAGGACTACTTAGTGCAAAACAGACAAAAAAACCCCAAACAAATGCCACCAAGCCAGCCCAGGTGCGACACTATACCCCAATGAGCAAAACCCAAGGACTCGGCATGCCAACAAAGCCATGTTCTTCTCTGCAGCCATTCCCAACTTCCAGTACCTTCCTTGGAGTAGCCAATGTTTCACCCTGTTTTTTCAACTGTAGAAGCCTCAAGAAAAGGGGAAAAATCAGAGAAGGGTGGGAGAAGGAAGAGAAGAAAAGGAACAGGCAGCTTGGTTCCCTGCTGTTCAATCAGCACACATATCCTTCTGTCCTGTTCACATCCATCCCCCACCCAACAGCGTGCTTTCAGATGCAACGTTCTGTCACCCTGTCCTGACATGACAAAGTTGAGTGTTTTCTTTCTGCACAGGCAGGCTTTAAGATACAACATCTGCTATTTTCAAAGTGTTCATTTTGGATGATTAAATGAAAAAAAAATGCACATTGCTTTTTTAAAAATAAAAACAAATACTTAAATGGTTAGACATCAGCTAAGTCAAAAATGTAAATCAGCAAGAGACATTTTTTTCCCCCATGCTAACTTTGATATGATATGCAGCAGATCATTATCTTTAGCAGCTCTCATACCAGCTTAAATTGCTGGGAAATACACAATTAAAATAATGAAGCAATGTAGTGATGGAGGAAAACTTGTATCAAACACAAAATTTAGCTAGTGCAAATTTATTTTGGTGGCAAGAGCTCTCCTGCATACATACAGAGACATTGCAAATACAGCACAACCTTTCAAAAGCCACAAAGTTGATCTAGCATGACACACTTTCTAAGAAATTAAAATTACATTTCATAGAATTAGGAATAATTTTCTAGAATGAACTAAAGTTTCTGAAATTCATAATAAAGTTTTAATTTCCGACATAAAAGCATGATTAGGTGGGGTACATGAGCACATGTCTGCATTTGAAAGAAAGCACAGCCATCAGCATGTTGCTGCACCAAGTGCCTTTTTCAAAC